TTCCCCGGCTGTGGAAAAGTATTTGCCCGATCGGAAAATCTGAAAATCCATAAAAGAACACACACCGGTAAAACATGCATTTATTTATTTATTTTTTTATATATATTCATTGCGATATTACTGATATAATTTTGTATGTCATATATGTTTTAATTAACGGACATAATATGCGAAGCAAATAATGCTAATATTTGTTTGTAATTTTTTCATTATTTGTTTATTTGTCCTATTAATAATTTTCATACCAAGCACAATTCCGTGACGCAAATAATTTCTATTCGTTACATGTTGTATAATAACTAACAAATTACACGTGTAGGAGTACAGTATCGTAGCAAAATAAAATAACGTAAACAATTTGGCCGACATTTAAATGGATATTTTTGTGAGTCGTGTTTCGTAGTGGAATATGGACAGGGACTTTTTTTTTAACGCGTTTGTATTTGCTTATATCCATGTGCTCGATTTATGTATCTCCAAATGTGATAGATTGTATTTATCATTTATTTTTAATACATGTGCTAGACTCTTAAAATGCTTATTTTGAGAGATGTTTGCTCTGTTTTTTTTTTTTTGTTAGGTGAAAAACCTTTCAAGTGTGAGTATGAAGGCTGTGACAGACGCTTTGCGAACAGCAGTGATCGTAAGAAACACATGCACGTCCATACCTCTGACAAGCCTTATCTCTGCAAAATGTGTGATAAATCCTACACACACCCCAGCTCCCTCCGGAAACACATGAAGGTAACAATAACATTGCAGTGCATAATTTTTTCCACCAACATTATTTAATGGTTTTTTTTTCTCTCTTCCTTTTTATTATTTAATTTACGTATGCTGATTTAAAAATAACGCTTTTTTTATGTGTACTTCTATTTCTGACCTCATATGGATTTTTTTAAATGTGTTGAATAATGTTGTTATTTGCATTAAAACGATATGTTTATTAAATAAAAGCTAACGCTGAATACCGTTATAATCTGAACATAAAGCTAAATACAGCGTTACAGAATCTATATTATTGTCAGACGCAATCGGTTGGTACAGTTTGAGATAAGAAATTATGAGGCACGTATGAAAATATATTTTCATGCACACTGATTTATGTTTGTCTTCGACTCAGGTTCACGATTCGTCGACTCAAGGATCCCAACCCTCCCCGGCAGCCAGCTCCGGCTACGAGTCCTCCACGC